TGCTTACTTCCTTGCGTACGGATGACAGCTGCGTATGACTTGATATATTTTCTGGTGCCTTCACTTCCTGAAACAGTTGTAAGCACCGTGTAACTGCCTCGAGGGTGCTTGACGATTTTAACACAAAGTAGTGCGATAATCCCCCTTGCGCGGAGTGAGGGTTCTCGACCCCGCACAACATGATCTACTCGACCGCCATCATAGTTACCGCCAAAATAAAAATGGAGGTAATAACCAAACGGTAACCTGGTTGCCAAGTTCACGAAGTGAATTGGCTTGTTGTTCAACGTTGTTGCCAAGCGACGAAAACCCAATCCCGATGGCAACCACCGGGGGGGGGGNCACTTCCTGAAACAGTTGTAAGCACCGTGTAACTGCCTCGAGGGTGCTTGACGATTTTAACACAAAGTAGTGCGATCATCCCCCTTGCGCGGAGTGAGGGTTCTCGACCCCGCACAACATGATCTACTCGACCGCCATTCATGGTTACCGCCGAAGAAAAAGAGGTAAAAATAACCAAACGGTAACCTTATTGACGAGTTCACGAAGTGAATTGGCTTGTTGTTCAACGTCGTTGGCAAGCGACGAAAACCCAACCCCGATGTCAAACACCGGAGTAGGGGCAAAAAATAACAACGATGGCCGAACAAAGAAACACAAGAAAAAAATATAATCCCGGAGTGGTGTGCTGCCGATTAAGTATAAAGGCGGTTCGCTCTACTGTATCTCTTGGGGTCATAATCCTCCGCGAAGTAGAGGGATACGAATTGCCTGAATTTCTCGAGGAGTATCAGGCATTCGTGCCGGGCAAAGCCCGGTTGCAGCAGTCCACTCATGTAGCGCAAGTGAGTGTGTTTGCGGGGCGGGCCAGAGTAAAACATGTGGTCGTGCGTTAGTAGACACTGGTTCGGGGCAGTCGTTTATCTCTAGCAGTGTGATGGATCGAATGGTGAAGACGGGTGCAGCGTTGGAAGAAGGTATTCGTTCGTTCCGTGAAAACACAAGAGTGGACGGGGTTTAATGGTTAACCGCTGCGCACGAATCATGTGGCTCGGTTAAACGTGCAGTTCTTCGATCGATTCGATAGAGGGAGTGCCCGTTTAGCCGTGCAGGCCTATATTGTGCCTGACGGGGTGATGTCTCACGATATTTTACTCGGTACGGATAGTTGGCGACACTTTCCGCGTCGTGAATATGTTGACTTTGGCAAAGACACATGTTTGTTGCGCCTGGGCAACAGCGCCCACTCATCGGGAGCGTCGTTCAGTGAGACTACATTTCCCCGTTCTGCGTCTCCGAAAATGGAAGCTGCGGCTGCCGCCGCCGACCGGCCTGATTTTTCTGAAATAATTGCAATGGTTGAGTTTCCCGACCACGATGGTAGCGAGTTCAGACTTGTAGTGGGTTCTTCCACCCGTTCACCGGTGGCAGAAGGGCAACGCGAGTGGGTTCCTGTTCGTGTTGAAACCGCTGCTGGGGTGACCGTGACATCGGGAAATTTTCATGCCCGGCTCGCGGAAGGGTGGAGTCCGCATGAAGTGCTCGTGGAAGCGGGCGGGCGTCATTTGCCCTTGGCGATGTCAAACGTCAGTTCCATCACACCTAATGCGGTCATTACTCGCAGTGTGACGCCCCTGCTTGATGTTCCTGTGTCCGACTTTGTGTTCCGCGAGACGGTAGCAACTGCCTCCCCTCGCGATTCGAAGGTCAACGTGCCCGGTTACTCCTGACCGAACCGAGCACCCGCCGGCCAAGGTGCTGGAGAATATGGCTCCTGAGTGTGAGAGTGCTTTCCGCCGGCTATGGGCAACCGTGCCACCGTATCTTAGAGAAATTAAACTCGGTCTGAATCATTCCGCGTGGCAGTCTGAAGATATCGATCGCCTCGCTGCGCTCCTCACGAAATATTCTGATCGATTTTCTGAGAACCCGGTTGACCTAGGCTACTGTAGCACCATCCCTTTTCAAATTGAATTGAAGCCTGCTACGCGCCCCATCAAACAGTGCGCATATCGCCGAAACCCCGCAATTAATGACAAGCTTCAGGTTGAGATAGATACAATGGTGTTGGCGGGCATTGTGCGGCGTCCCAACAGCGAGTGGGCGTCCCTGGTGGTGTGTGTGATGAAAAAGAACGGGTCGGTGCGAGTGACGTCTAATCTGAAACGACTGAATAGCGCAACAGTAGTCCCCTGTAGCGTTCTGCCCCATATTGCAGAATGCATGACCACCTGGGGGGTAGCTCCGTCTTCTCGGTGCTCGACTTGGTGAGCGGCTTCTACCAAGCCGCGATCCACGAGGGTTCCATCCCCTTAACGGCCATCGTGACGACTACGGGGTTGTACGAATTCGTTCGAGTCCCCATGGGGACGAGTGGTGCGCCCAGCCACTTCCAGGTGTGTGTGCAGTTGTATCTGGATGATATCGTGGTGCACTCAAAATCCACAGCAGAGCATGTGGTGCATTTCGAGAAGTTGTTGGAACGGTTGCGCATCCACAATCTGAAACTCGCTCCCAAGAAAGCGAATGTGGGTGCCGCCGAAGTGGAATTTTTGGGCCCCAAGTGGCCTCGCGCCTGGGTGTGGTAAGGTTGCGGCGTTGGAAAATATGCCTATGCCTACGAATAAGAGCCANGCCACTTCCAGGTGTGTGTGCAGTTGTATCTGGATGATATCGTGGTGCACTCAAAATCCACAGCAGAGCATGTGGTGCATTTCGAGAAGTTGTTGGAACGGTTGCGCATCCACAATCTGAAACTCGCTCCCAAGAAAGCGAATGTGGGTGCCGCCGAAGTGGAATTTTTGGGCCCCAAGTGGCCTCGCGCCTGGGTGTGGTAAGGTTGCGGCGTTGGAAAATATGCCTATGCCTACGAATAAGAGCCAGCTTCGTTCCCTGTTGGGCAGTTTTTCCGTATCTCAGCAAGTTTATCCCTATCTAGGCCACTCGAGTGCGGGGTCTCAACGAGGTATAAAAAAAAGGGCAAGGAATTTCGGTTCACGACTCAACACGAAGAAACCACTAGAGCGATTCTCAAAACGTTGATGAGCACGACAACATTGGCGTTCCCTGAATATGAGGCTGCCATCAATGGCTCCCGCCCGTTTCAGTCATCGTCCGATGCGTCTGTTCATGTTTTTGGGGCCGTTCTGGAACAGCAACAGATTAGTGGCACAATGCGTCCTCTCGTATACGTCAGTCGATCAACTCCCCCTAGCGAACGCAACTGGGACACGACTGGCCTAGAAATGGGGGCGTTGGTTTGGGCTGTCAAAAAGCTCCGAGTATATTTGGACGGTATTCCCTTCGTGGTGCATACGGACCACCAACCTTTGACTAGCTATCTTTGAGTGAGAAGAAGCCTCGAGTGCATCGAATGTGTGACGTCCTCAGCAGCTATCAGTTTTCCTTGCGCTACAAAAAGGGGAACGATAATCAGGTAGCTGACATGCTTTCACGGTTGCCGCAACCTGCGACCGAAAATGATGAATCGGGGCCGAACCGCCTCATAGAAGAGGGTGATCTCGATGTGTACTTTGTGGGTGCTGCAAATTGCCTGTCCCCTCCCTTGGACTTGCAATTGCAGACTTCCTCCCACGAGGATTTGTCGTTTATGGAGCCCGTAGATCCATTGACCACCGATGAGGTTGCGCAGGACCAGTGGATCTGGCTGTCCGATCTCGTCAACGCGTCGTCAGTACCGTCAGGTATCAGGTGTCGTGGGTCCTCGCTAGTAACCCGTCTCCCGCCCCTAGTTCCACGCCCGTCCCCATTGTACTTTTAGTGGCCAGTTTCAATCAGGTGTTCTGCTCCACGCGTGCTCGGTATTCCCGGCTACGCCGATCTTGCCGGTCTCCACCCGCTCCACTGGAGTCGTGCCTCGGTCACCTCGTGTCCGAGCGGGCCGTCGTCCTTCCTGGAAGGTTCGAGAACGGGAGGAGGCACCTGAGCCCGTCGCTGCCACCGCTGTGCCTGCTAGCGACGGTGCTTCGGCCGCACGACCAGCGCGTCGTCGTGCCGCCGCCCGTGGTCCGACACCGCCGTCCCGAACGGGCCCCGCGGAGGACACACCGGCTCCTAGCGCGGCCGGTCGCCGTCACCGGCGCCAGAGACCGCCTCCCCCAGCCGACCCCGTAGTGGAACAACCGGCTCCTCGCGGGGCCGGTCGTCGCACCCGGCGTCCCGCCGCGCCGACGCCCACACGACTGCCACGGCACCTGAGGAGCCCCGTTATCGTCCACCGAGGTCGCGCCGAGACTCAGCTTCGACATTTGAGGGGCCCCGAGTTCGTCCATCGAGATCGAGACGAGCCGCCGCCGCCCGCCGTACCCCGTCGACCGCCGCCCAGCACCCGACCTTCACTTCCGACGCGCGCGTCGAGCCGACTTGTCGATTCGGGGCGCGGTTGTGCGACAGGACCGACCTCGAGTGGGCCGCCGAGCAAGCGCGAGACCCCCTGGCGTCTTACGTCATCAAGTACGTGGGTGATTCTGACTCTTTTAGCTTTCCTGATGTGGGCGATTGCATTGGGGATGAGGATACCATCACTCTTAAAATGATTCAGAAGTTGGCGGACAAGTGCACACTCGTGACTTTGCCTCGCTCCGGACCGGTAGGGGCCAAAGACGCCCACCACGTGCTCCTGATAAAGAAACCGTCCGAAGCGCCTACATCTCGCGCCCAGCGACACAGCGGCGGTAAAATCGAGAGACTTTTGGGGGATGAACCGATCCGATTGTACGTTCCTTTTCTTTTGCCGGCCGTGGGAGCTAAATGCGGTGCACACAGAAGGTTGTCATTTAGGAGAGGACGTGACGCTGGCCTCCCTCGAGCGTTACTATTTTTGGATTGGCATGAGTGACAGCGTGCGATGGTTCATTAAACACTGCATCGTGTGCCAAGCCTCGACAAGCTCGCCGAAAACCTATATGGCCGTTGATTTCGCTGCTCTTACCCTCTCGGCCGGGGGAAATGGTGGCGTTTGATATTCTTGGCCCTCTGCCGACAACTAAACGCGGAAACAAATACGTGTTGCTAGCCGTTGACTTGTTAAGTAGGCATGCCGAACCCTACGCTCTCTGCCGACGAGAAAACGGCTCAGGGGTGTGCCTTAAAGCTAGCCGCCGATTATTGTACGCGTTGGGGATGTCAGGTGTATTTGTTGTCGGATAGAGGTGGCGAGTTTACGGAGGCTGTCGCGCGTGATGTGTACCGATTGCTTGGGGACAAGAAACGGTTTACCAGCTCATTCCACCCTCAAACCAACGGGCGCGTCGAAAGATTGAACCATTCGGTCTGCCAGATGTTGTCTCACGTGATCAGCGCCCAACAAACCGATTGGGATGACCATCTCTTGCCGCGTGTGTGCGCTCACAACAATCACGTGAGCAAGGCTACCGGTCTTGCGCCCATGGAAGTACATATTGGCCGGTATCCTCGTTTACCGATGACGGTTCTTGGGTCACAGAAGGTGGTTTCTGGTATGCAATCGAACAAGCGGGATGATCTAGAATACCTCCAGCTCATGAATACCGACAAGCGAAGCCTACGAGCTAGTGGTTGGAAGAGACAGGCTCACGAAAGAAAAACACCGAGCACGCAACGAAGATCTAGACAACCTAGATACGAAGCGGCCGATTTTCCACGCGGGCACGTGGGTGTGGTGCTACGATCCTCAGGACACCCTCCGCACAGCGAATGGCGATAAAACAGCTTCTGCCAATAGGATTAAAGCGAAACTCGCCAACCTGTGGACAGGACGGTATATAGTGCTTGCTGGCGGGCCCTGTCGCTTTAACGACATGAAAGTTGGGTTCAAGTTGCTGTATCTGGATTTACCGCACGACACACAGGCCAAATCCAACCGTGTCTCAGTGTTGCGTTGTAAGCGTTGCCATCGTGCGGACGAACCTGAGGAAATCCCCGACTTTTTACCTTGGAAAATTTGTTCGTACGTCCTGCATAAAAATGCGGACATGGCGCCTCCCTTTTACCTCACCGCGGATGACGTGTGGGAATAGAGCTTGACGTACAACGTGCACAGCCGACCGCTATCACCGGTCACCGTATCAGTTGAGGTCCAGGGAGTTCCATCGCGGTACAATACGAAACGCGTTGGCGCGGACACCGCCAGCCCACTTGGGAATCTGCAGCAAACATCCAGCAGTATGGTGGTTTTGTCGTATTGGGTGGGCAGTACAGTGCGTCAGGTAGGAGTCGACAGTAAAGTGCACCGTGACTATAACAAGCTTGCCGCGCACCGCGCGCAAGCTCGCTCGTAATTTCCTTTATCTGCCGCCAGGGTACGCGTTTCTGGCGACGTCGGAGCGTGGGCCGGCCTTGCTGTCAGCGGAGATGAAAGGAGCGCATGTTTACGTGCGGACGAAGCAGGAGGGCTGGCAGCTGGGAGTGGTACATCAGGTTTCGAGGGCGCGGGAGGAGGACCTGCCGTACAAGGTCAACTTCGTCGACCTCGAGCGGCGTTTCAACGTGTCGCTGTCGCCGACAAAGTATTGTACGGCGGTGGATGGTCCGCCCGGATCGTGGTGTTTTCTTGTGCACATGCGGTCCGGGAGCGTCCGGCGGAACGGGACCTGAGGTGGAGATGTCGCCGTGGTGGTCGGGTTGCGTTCTGGAGGAGGTTGCGTCGTGATGGTCGGGGAGCGCTGTGGGGGGGGGGGGGGGGGGG